TGTCTGTACATGTGCTCAATAAGACAGGGCTTAGATTTACTCTGAACAATATAGCTTCTATTTTGGGGACCATTCCCATAACCCTATCGTACTAGCAAGATCGATCTTTCTCCGAGGGGATTCTCACTAAATCGCATTCAGTTTAAGCGTGCACGACAGTTAATCCCCCCCCCAGCAGCTTCAGTGGGCGTGGCAGACATTTAAGTCGCTTAAATTGAATGCAAATTAGTGAGAGTTCCCTCGAAGTTAGTCCGGTCCTACTAGTATGATAGGGTTATGGGAACCTAGTCTAAGAAGCATGTTCTCGTAGGTGTAAACAGCAAAATAAAATAACTCTAAAACGATGATTCCATACTCCAGAAAACTCAGTCAATAGAAGATATAACATGCTCGTATGCAAATTGGGAAGTCAATACAGTTCAAATCCCTTCAAATCTACTTTCAAAATACTAGTAAAATAATTTTAAAGAGCAATTGTTCAAAAGATGCCAGACGTTAACCCTGAATGCAATAACCAGATATGACGCCTAAGGATGTCAAGGATGCGAACAGACACAAAGTTCACTTAAAGTTTCCATAAAAGAATTTATTAATTTGGTGGTCTGCCATCGGTATATTTGATCATAAAGTAGCAACTACCGGTAGCTNGTATTAATTAGGTGGTCTGCCATCGGTATATTTGATCATAAAGTAGCATCTACCGGTAGCTCCTTCTAGTCCATACCACGCCTTATACACGCCTGTCTACACGCCCACAGGATGCGTTAAGTCCAATTCGGTGTCTTGTAAATTACAAAGGCACCACAGGTATATCTTGGAGAGACAATCTACATTTGCAGTATTACTAAATTTAAGCACTGCTAGGAAAAAGCTGGAGTTAATTGTCCCGGGGCAACAGTAACGTTGATGCTAATCACCTCCGATAGACGCTTAATAGTGTTTAGAGTTGGTACGCACAACGCATCTGTTTTAGAAAATGCCGCAGTTTTTCTGACTTTTTTCCAAGCACGCGTGCTACAGACCAGCTGTGTTTGCGGTATCCATTGCCAGACACTTGTGCGCGTTTGCTTGCACGTGCGAGTGCGAGTGCGCACGTTCTCATATATTATTGTTTCTTTGCAATCCTGACTTATTCAGAATCCACTTCTCATCACGAATGAGAATTTTGGCAGGTAATAAAAGTTGCACACCTCAAAATAGTTTGCAGAATGTATCTAAAAATATAAATATTTTTCCAGCTTTCTTTCAGGTTTGCAATGTTTAAACCACGAAGCGTAAAGAGGTCACTATGTGCGGGAAGCCAGGTTGGGTCATTTTACCTCAGTTGTGTTCATACACTTGTACTTTGAAGATATCAATAATGTGGGGAATCTATCTTCCTGTAGGATCGACATGTACTTTTATCATTGCGCATGTGTTATACCAGTGTTTAACTGCTCTATAATAGGTCTCGGTGGTCAAAATGGCTATTAAACTTGTGTACCATTTTCCTTTCATCTACTTGAAAGATAGACATAACATCGACCACTTACGCACATTTAAAGGTTTTATGTGTAGTTTTCATACAAGTGCACTTCATCTAACCTTAATTCATTAAGTAACAGGGACAATCTTAATTTCAGATTTATATGTGGAATCTAGGTCTGGCCATTTCTCTAGTAAGAATTCTGAAGCACAAGCTTAACCATCCACACAGGTAGGTTTCGGTGCACATGCTCTGGCTACATCAGGTCTGAACTTTTCACTGCAGACATGGAGTTTAACTGAATAATATTCCTGACAGCTACACTGACCGGTAAGCTTTTGCACAACATTAAAGTGCATTTTTCTTCAATCGCTCTTGGCTATTTAAACTAGGAAGACTTCCCCTTTCAATTATAATACGAGTGCCTATGTTATAAACCCCGTTCTTGGACTTCACAAAATGCCAGTTTATTGGCTGTAGCTTTTGCCGGTCCACCTGTCTGATATGGCCGGACCCGATAGCAATGGGCAATGAACCAGTCCATACTGACAGCTGACTCTGACAGGTAAACGAAAATTCAAGAAAGAAAATCGCTGGTATACATCATCATAAGGTTAAATGCTAAATCAGTTTAAGGGACAAAGTATTGATGATTAATTCAGCAGAGAAAGTCCAATGGAAAGAACTTCCAAAATGTTCTTTCACTCTAAAAATTTGCATAATGCAACCGAATCAGAAAACCTATCGAGATAGAGAGAGAGAGAGAGAGAGAGAGAGTGTGAATAATCGCCATGCCAAACACAACCTGACTATAGAAGCAACCATAGCGCAAATGTGTACTATTACTTAACTACATAACTGCCCTGCTTCATAACTAACCGTCTCTCTCGTCAAAATGACGCCTATCCTTTTTTATGATTAAAGAGATCCGTGTAAACTTTTGATCAGCAAGGCATTAGCTAAAGGTTCTGACATTAACTCATAATCACTTTTGGTCTATAATACACTGCTGTAGAGGGCAGACGTGGGTATTTCTTGGGATTGTTTCAGACACCTTATTATTTATTTATTTATATACAGTTCCAGGAAATTATCTTCACAAACATGTACTGGAAGGCTAATGCCAAACTCCAGGTATTCAACAACAGACAGTAAAAAAAGAACGCTGTACGCGATGCAAACTCGATGTTATTCTGTACTGAGGTCAACAGCTTGCAGTGTCCGATATCCCCTATCCCGCTCACCCCCTTCTTAGGGTCCTGCTTGGAATTTGTGTTTGGGTACACAGTTCAAAACTCAGTTCAAAAATGAAAATTTAATTTCTTGTATACATACTCAGATTTTGTCAGAGAAAGCCAGAAAGATCTGTAAGTCACTTGCTGCATGTATTTACCAGTAAGCCATGTGTGCAACATACACGTAATGTAATATGTGACGGCTGTGTTATTGTGAGGGACATATAGTGTAGTATTGTGGCCTAGCACGTAAATTGATTTTACGTCCTTGTTGTGACAAGGATCACAGTTAGACGGACGCGACAATGTGACGGGAGTATACAGTCGCGTCACGGATGTGACAGCATTGCCGGCGTGACAATGCAAGAGTTTCTGAACTACAAAGTGGGGCAGTTTCGCGTTATTCTTTTTGTATTTTACTATTATTATTTTATTATTATTATTATTGTTTTTGGAGGGGGGGTAATGTTAATTCGAATGCATAACGTCCATCTGTAAGCCACATTGAGGGTTAAATTAGACGTACATCTTCAGTCAGTGATTAGACGTACGTCTTAATCGCATTACTCTCAAGACTCAGGGTTACGTTTAAACGCATTTCTGAGAACAGCATAAAAACCTGATGAAAATCCATACTTTCTTTCCGGTCAGCAAATGATGGAGAAACGTATCAGAATATATTCATAAACTTGCTCAGCACGCTCAGTAACACCTGTGTATTGATTCCCATATATACGGGGAGAGAACACGCAAAACTGCGAATACTTCAAAAGATGAACACCAAGAACTCATCCGTAAATGCATTGTGTGTAACGTATTTATGGAACTGACCGTTACTATACGATACCTTATGATCAAATACCCCGGTCGGTCTTATTGATTTTTTATTTCTAAGCAAGTAGGAGTAACTATGCAAGTTATACTGCTATATGTATCACGACAGCATTGGGTGCTTACCGTATTTGTTCACCAACTGGAAAAAAAACGAATGTACATGTAATAAGACTTAGTTGACTTAATCTGCTGGATAGCAAAAAGCAGGACCGGTGATAATAACAACTTTTAATTTTTTTCTCAAATGACGTGCTTGCTGAACTTATGAATGAAATGAGAAAAAACAACAGGTATCGATTTCTGAAAAAATTAAGCAGGGATATTGAAAAGATCAAATTAACTCCATCTGTAAGACTACCTACGGAGAAACATTTAAGTATATTTATCAGTAGATAGAGAATAAAAAGCAAAGTTCAAGAATTACCTGCTTTCGCAAGCAAGCAGTTGAGTGTTTCCAATACATTAGGTGAGGAAAACAGAAGAAAACACCGCAATAAGTTGATGCACTGTGTTTTTGCAAAGCTGTAAACTACAAACTGTATAAGCGACAGGCAGTGATATTTGTCTTTGCAGCTGGGTGAATGCAAATTACACCTCGAAGCTAGCCCAGTACACTGCAAATGTCAAATTGCAGCCTTGAGAACGGTATGACCTTAATAACGGCCTTGGACATAACTTTCTAGAAAAGAGCTGAAAAAATAGCTTTGAAAAGAAGTGATATTTGGATACCTTAAAACCTGATACCACTCCTACCTGCTCGACATCGTGAATTATAGCGTATATACGGTGTACAATAACCTTACACTAACGGCTTATTGTGGATGATCCGACATACAAAAATGAATAATTCACCTTGATCTTCTCACTGTCACACTACCTCTTACAGTCTCGACATGTTGTAAACAAATAGGAGCCAAGACATTGTACAGTCCAGACACTGTTGCAAGGAGACTTCGTGGATATTATCACGTCCTCAAATTAATTAGTTAAAATACTATATAATCAAAGGGTTGGATATAGGACAGATGAGGCTGAAATATTTCAGTTAGCTGCTCTAATATCTAAGAACTCGACAGATGACGATGTTTGATGTGGCTCACCTTCCAAACCCAGCCCTGGGGCGGAGCCAGGGTGATTTGAAGGGGGGGGGGCGTTTTTTCTGGGGGGGGTAGACAGGCCTCGGATACGAAGCCGACCTTCTCACCCCTTGTCGGTTCGGGGCCCGGGGGTTCGGGGCCCGGTCGAAAACATTTTGGTGTTTTGGAGGGCAAACGGTGCCATTTGGTACGGTTTAATACTATGCTTCAGTTAGTCAAAATTCTAATTTCAAGAGGGGAATACTAGTGTGATTTTCGAACTTAAATTTTAAATTGGGTGTAGGCGGCAGTGGATATTGAGCGTGTTTGGTAATCCTGTGGTATAACCTACTAGTAGAACTGCACACTTCATCTAGAGCTGAACTTTACCTCCTCAAGAAGTCCATGTGTTCTGTGTGTTTCAGCAGTCCTGTCTTCATCATTATACTCTGAAAGCACGGTCGATCTATAGCCCACAGCTTGCACATTGTTAGAGCTGGCAAAAAATAAAAAAAATATGTCTATTCAACGTAGGCATATATATTACATATTCATTTTTTGACGAATAATAGCAAATACAAGTCTAGGAAATAGTATTAAAATTGATTGAAAATTATGCTAAGGGAGATTTTGTTGACTAAGATAACACCGACAAACATTTTTCTTTGTGAAACGGGGGGAATTACCACATCCCAATACTATTATTCAATAAATAAAACAAAAACAAACAAACAAAAAAAAATATTGGATGATAAAGTAGAAGAGGTTTAAGCTGAACTATTCCAATTATTTTCATTTAAAGGTTATGCAGTTTTCATTCCGTTCTTTTAGCACAAAATGATACTGAACTACTTCCGTTTTCTGTTAAAACATAACAGGTATTCATATGTATTATGTTGTAAAATCATGTCATTATGCATTAATGAGCTCAATGAAAATACGAAATACATATATCATATGATAACGAAGCGGTTGAATGAAGAAAGAGCGTAAAAATTAACTAAGAATTGTATGTGTCACATATGGCGAACAGCTGCTCGACCTCGGAGCAAAACGGGCAGAAAACAGAACCAGCCATGTTCCTTTTGCCATGACGTCATCTCCATATTAAACCTGCCAACTTGCCCCGTTCTCACCTTTCACACTAGCAGTCCGTGTGCAGTTATATAAGATAGCCAACTCCCCAAATATTTTTGCAGGGCCCATCGTACACAGTTTCTGGCCTTCTTTCGTAACTTCCACCTTGCCATCTGTAATAATGAAATATATTTGTAAAGTATACAATGAGTCAGGCAGATCCACTTGCTACGGGGCTGAATGTAATCGCGCGTTTAATGGAACACAAAGTCATATTGGAAGCACAGTTTATCAATAATTGAAGATAAAACTGGGTTTAGTTGTACATTTCGGTGATCGATAGGATGTCTGCATCGTTTCTTATTATGTTAATTGTCAAAGTTTCACACGAAATCAAATTTCCTGCGCACACATTGTGCAAGGTAAAAAAAAATGGTATACGTTAGGGGGAGACGAAGGTAGACGAATGTGTTAGGTGAGCTATCGTCCTCTCCAATAAAGATTGAGACGGGAAACCAATAGGATTGTGTTAGTTGTGTAAAGGATTGTGTTTGGATACGTGTGTTGTGGATTGAACCGGATGAAGTGATGCGGCATCCCGGACCGTTACCACAGTGACAATGATTAAACATTACAGATTGTTTTAGAAAAAATGTTATTTTCATGGAAATTAAATCATCCAGGCTCATCGTACATAAAATTCTCGTAACTGAGGATTTTCACTCGAAACCTTTAAAATATAAATAAGGAACGACATAGTCTTACACGCAAAGGTATATTGTCCGGAATTTTTGACCAAATCGAACTTTCCGTGAATAAAGTTATTTTCATAACTTGATCCGTCCCTTTCCTTGGATTTAATGTTTCAGGATCTAAGCTTTTCAAACCATAATTTGATTCTAAATGTTTTAGTGGTGTTAAGAATGCATTGTCTTCGTGTACACTTCAAAAGGAATATCGACATCAGGTACATAATTTCAGGAGTTTAACTTTTTCTAAGACTTAGAATGGGAAAGCAGGATATATATCAACATAGAAAATGGGACTTTGAGGCGGACCGTCTTGTTAACTATCACCAGCGTCACTTTTCAAGAGCAGGCTACTGTAGTTCCCATTAGTTGACATGTTTTCTGAGAGAATGTGAAGCTTGTCCAAATCACCATTTTTGCAATGTAAAAAGAAAATTTGTAGAGAAAGATGTATTGCGACAGGTAACTCGTGTTGAATCGTTTTACGCATGTATTACCAAAAACAAATCTGCCACGAATAACTGACTTCCGGTGATAAATCGGGAAATGTTATCACGTGACGTACTGCTGAGCCAGTAACGCGCATTCAGGCGTCATTTTGAGCTTGGGTCATGATTTTTCCTGGTGAGTCAGCTATAAGAAGACTACATAGGCATACATGCACGGTCTACGTGACATCAAAATTCACGCTGCATATTGGGGAGGGACTATAAGAAGACTAAATAGGCATACATGTACGGCCTACTATACGTGATGTTAAAGATCACGTTGCATATTGGGGAGGGACTTTCCAAATAAAAGGTGCAACATGAATTTTCCACAAACGCAGTTTACAACGCATAACAAACTGTGAACAGAAATAATTTTAAAAAGGTGCACGGTGTAGGATTTCCAGGCGAAAAACTAACAATCGAATTGCCCTAAAGTAAACTGTATTTTCTCCAACCAACCCCCTTTTCTGATATTCGTCGTAACATTGTCACAATATGGAAAATTAAAAAATCCTGAACACACGTATAAGGGTTGACTTTTCGAATTCTGCCATCTCTTCGATCTGAATTCTTGCACTGAAATTGCGGATTCCAGGCGATTTAAAACTGCCGAGATAGTAGGAAGGCTGCGAGGTTCTTCTGTAGGTCTAATTTAAAACTGCCGAGATAGTAAGTAGGCTGCGAGGTTCTTCGGTAGGTCTAATTTAAAACTGCCGAGATAGTAGGTAGGCTGCGAGGTTCTTCTGTAGGTCTAATTTAAAACTGCCGAGATAGTAGGTAGGCTGCGAGGTTCTTC